GCTCCCCCCCCCCCCCTCATATGCTTTGACCTTGAGCAACTATGAACTTTGCACAACGCATTTATAAAGTTCGTACGATTCTCAAAATAAACAGCCATAATTTCCTTAACAGCATCAACGAATTCATCGATGTCATGGATACGCACTGCGTTCTCTTTGAGGTATGGACCCGAATATTTAAATATTACATAATATGCTTCGTGCACGCGCAAACACCTCTGAATCCTTGATAATGATTTTCGTATTTCTCTGAAACATTCAAACACGAGGAGAATGAAGCAATGGCTAAGGGACCTGAAAAGGGGTAAGAAATAGAACATTAGAAGGAATTAACCGGGAGATAAGGCAGTTTGCTTGCATTTATACAAAATAACCCCGCTGTAAACTCTAGGGTAAGCTGTAGCTTATCTTAAACGTAAAGTTCACGTCTGCATCTCAGACTAACTACGGCAATATCACACGAACGCTGCATATGGGACATGTACGGCGTTCGAACGCAAGAACACGTACACTTTCGTGTTTCTCTGTCCAGTGAATGTTCCATCCCCCCCCTACAGAGGAGTTTGCTAAATGCCGAGGGATTCACAATTGAGATTCTGCAGGAGGGAATGAGCCGGAAGATGACGAGGGTAGACGCGGATAAAAGCAAATTCCCTTCAGAGGACAAAAAAAAATAGTTCTTTTTAATGTGTGAAGCGTAAATACCATCCGATAAGATCTACAGCAAATTCGTGTAGCGAGACGGATTGGGTCTGGTTCGTTATATAAATGGAGACTTGCTCTTCCTGAGTAAACAGTTTAAGGACTGACGAAGTTTACACAAATTGACGTCTGACGCCGCGCACAAAGGCTCTCCTGCTAGGCAAGGTACGTGCATAGAAACTGCAACGCACTGATTTTAAATGTATAACTCGGTTACCACGGCGTTTGATTTTCTACAAACCGATGACGATGACGCTTCGAAGTCATTCTGTGAGCTTTCATTTCTGTCCGTATGTACGCATCAACGACTGGACCAATTTTCATGAAATTCGATATCTCCGTATTTCGCTGAAATTTGCGATAAAATAGGAAGACGACAGCAGGCACTTAATATGAAGACCTGCACGGTTTCTGCCAGCCGAAGTTACACCGGCTACCTTCGTTACCATGGTTACTATAGTTACCTACATCGAGGTCAAATTCTTACAAAGACGCCAGAATTGTTAACGATACGCGTGGACTTCTAAACTTGTATTTAAGAACGCATAGATTCGCAGATCTACGCCAAAGTATCCCATAGAAACACAATCCAAAGACAGCCGAGTCGTTAAGAACGGATAAGAGTGAACTTCGGCTGAAATGTTATCTTGAAAGTTTCTTTTCCAAAATTCTGAATTGGAGCAAGAAGTGTATATGTCTTACCGGGACAAATCGAGTAAAAATATGACCCACTGAGCGACTGTTAGCTTTTAAAATAAAAGAATCTGATCCATGCAGTTAAAATTCGTGATGAATACTGAAACAATTGAACTATAAATCATTAATTCCGGCGAGATACATAGACTGCAACTATCAGTTTAACCCGTTGAAGTCGAAGGTATAAATATTATTTAAGAATTCAGTCCGTACCGCGAAGAAAACACAACCCTTCACCATTACGAAAATCAACTGGTTAACCCTTTGAAGCCTACGCTCGTCTAAATAATATTTAAGAATCCAGTCCGTACCGCGAAGAAAACACTGCACTTCACCATTACAAAGATCAACTCGTTAACGCTGTTTAAGGAAATAATCGCTGTTTACTTTTATACAAAAACCAGCAGGTGGTACATACAGTTAAAAATCGGCTTTAAAGGATTAAAGTCAAAGTAATAAACGTTGCATAAAGACTGCAACGTATCAGCGTGAAAGCCAAGACGGAAAGAATTGCCAACCTTAGAAAATAACAGAAGACCACGCGATGGCGATGAAACGCGAGGATTTGTTATGTGGCTCGCATATTGCCAACTTATTTCATATTTCGCTTTGGTTAGCTACAGACGTTACATTCATCGGCGAAGACTGTTATAAACGAGAAAGTTGCTCACTTTATGTCATCATTAAACACATTTATTGCATGGTCATAACACTCGTATAGATCCTTAAAGTTAAGCCATGAATAATTGAAAACTGCCTTGTTCACATGTGACTCACTTTACGTTTAATTTTCACAGACTTAAAAGCACTATGTGCCTGTTCGTTTGAACAGTACCGAGGTCTAGTTATGTTTATATTACTAGCAATCAATCATGAGTGATTTTATTATACAGTGTTTCAGTAAGAGAAAACCAATATTACAAATTTAAATAAATCAAACATCAATAATTAATCGTGTTTAAGAGTCGGCTAGCCCTACATTAAATCTGTACAATAATCTAGTTATCTATTTAACGACGCTATCAGTAACTGAAATCATATTACGTCAAATTATATGACTGAATTGTACTAAATGGAAGCGGTCGTGGCCTAATTTAAGAGACCATCTCGATATTTGCCTGGAGCAACTGAAAAAAAAAACTTCTCGAACAACAGGAAGTAGTGCCAACCATCAGACTGCGACTACCAGCGTAATTATCTGTCACCATGCGCGTACGACGTGATTTTACGTGCCATTTTAATAATATACACCCGATAACATGAAATAAATCAATGCGACGCCAGACTTCAAAATGAAATGACTGTCTTACTCACATGGTTCGGAGATGTTTCATGTCGTTGAAAGCTCCGGCCTCAATGAACCGTAAAAATTTTACGTTCATCAGCGTCCTGTAAAAGAGACACGTCATTCACATAGCGTCGTTTACGGCTACATCAATGTCAGTTTATGGACAAGATAATGGGTATAAGCGCTAGGATCAGCGGACGTGTAATTTCCCACTGGATGCATTAAAATCGCATAAAATGTTGAAATAATTGTGTCCCGATTTCGATAATTTTCGACCACTTTCGTCAATAACGGAATTTATGAGGAACTGCTTTGTTAAAGTAGCTTTTCAGAACAAAAATGGCATAAGTGTGCGTACATCATGGCGTTTTTCATTGCCTCATGTTTTGTCCCTAAACTCTTAAAATATATAACTAACTAACTAGATGGTTTATCGAACCCGAAGGTTCATCACCGAACTAACCAAAGTCATCCACCGGACCCTGTCCTGGGCCAACAAAATCCAGTCTCCTTCAACTCCTATCTCCCATAGATCCCGCCTGAGATTATCCTACCATCTACGTCTAGGTCTCCCCAGAGGTCTCTTCCCCTCAGGCTTCCCAAATAGTGGACCCAACCAACCAGATGGCTTACGGAACCCGAAGGTTCATCACCGAATTAACCAAAGCCCTCCACCGGACCCTGTCCTGGGCCAACAAAATCCAGTCTCCTTCAACTCCTATCTCCCATAGATCCCGCCTCAGATTATCCTCCCATCTACGTCTAGATCTCCCCAGAGGTCTCTTCCCCTCAGGCTTCCCAAATAGTGGACCCAACCAACCAGATGGCCTACGGAACCCGAAGGTTCATCACCGAATTAACCAAAGCCCTGTCCTGGGCCAACAAAATCCAGTCTCCTTCAGCTCCTATCTCCCATAGATCCCGCCTGAGATTATCCTCCCATCTACGTCTAGGTCTCCCCAGAGGTCTCTTCCCCTCAGGCTTCCCAAATAGTGGACCCAACCAACCAGATGGCTTACGGAACCCGAAGGTTCATCACCGAATTAACCAAAGCCCTCCACCGGACCCTGTCCTGGGCCAACAAAATCCAGTCTCCTTCAACTCCTATCTCCTGAGCTTAAAATATATATTGATGTATTTATGTATGCGTACATACACACACGAATTCCGTGGTGAACATTAACACGGAAACTCCCTGTAAGCAAACAAAGATAAAACTCTGAAGAAGAAGAAGAAGAAGAAGTTTCTCTGCGACAATGCACGAAACGTAATTAACTGTTGTTAAGTGTCACGTGTCTGTGAACTAAATGAGGTCAGCATTAATTAACTTCGCTTCTTCACATATTTCAAAAGCCGGCACAAAAGTAAAGAGAGACCCAATTCCTCTCTGAGCGCTCACTTTATTCTTACGAACCCACTCACTCACTCACTCATTTTGTCTCACCGCGTAACATTTCAGTTTCCACTGAAACGTCTTAAGAAATTTTATCAGAGTTCATTTATATTACGTATACCTTTGAAGGCAAAAGATACAAACACAGAACAAAGTCGTAATTGCTCATTCCGAATACACACATTAACTAAAAAACTTCTATTACAATCAGAGAACTTATTTGTGTTCTCAAATGAACACTTACGGCCACGCGCAACGCAGATATTCCGACCTGGCAGACACTGTAAGGCGTTTCAATAACTCCAGAAGTGTTCGACGCTTTCATAAGGCTACGACTGTCAGCCATTTAAAATCTGTGACAATGTTAACCACGTTGTAGTGGCTTACAGGAATATCTAACAGCGATTTGCATGGCTAACATTATCAGCCATTTCTGAGTGGCTAACATTGTTGACCATGTGAGAATGGCTAACAGCGTTAGAACAACCAAAAATATTGTATCCAAAACAAGTAACCTAACCTAACCCTACCCAGAGGAGATCTGCTCCCATACTGGGGATCTATCCCTCCGCAGAACTTCAATGCCGTCGCTCTCTGGTGCCCCCCCTTCCCCGTAAGGGGGCTCCCCTATCCAGCGCACTCATATCGCACCAAGTTCAAAACAAATTTCCATGCCGACAGCCTGACAGACACACACAGTTGTTGCACTAACGTAATTCTGGCTTACTGCGTCCTAGTCCATTCTTGAATTAATGTTACCCAAGATAACTATTGCGTCTTATGCCATTATTGCGCTGACGGAGAAAAGTCCGTTGCTTTTTGATCGTCCGCCATGTTGGTATTGGTAAAGTTCTGGAGTGTGTTGGAAGATCTAAGTGCAGGTACTTACACGTCCTTGAGGAAAGTTCGATACGGTCGAAGCGCCGTTGCCTTCAGAACTTCAATCCCTGCATCGGACACCGTCCTGAAACGTGAGAAGAACAAGGGGCCCGGATTACGGCGTGCGACACTCATTTGTCTGCTGTCGAGACAGCTGACAGCGCCAGACAGAGTCTCTGTTTCTAGGGTTATTTCAGCCCTAGGGAGTCTGCTGTCGAGACAGCTGACAGCGCCCGACAGAGTCTGTTTCAGGCCCTAGACACCGAACACAGAGGTAGGAAGACGGGGTGGAGGCATTTTCCGTGACTGAGGACGATCGAGGCCCATCGGATGTTACTTTTATACCTTAAGCCCGAGTCCCTAACTCAGGCCTACAACAATTCCGCGCACGTGACTTGAATTTCTGCACGATCGCGATGTTTCTCAGTTCCACCCTCAAGTTTGTCGTAACATAATTTGATATTTGTTCCACTTACTTCCCACCTGACGTCACGTGACAAAGGAACAGCGCATTCAGGCTCAATGAGGTACCGCGGGGCAAAGCACTCCGTACGCCGGCTAATGGACTTCATTCAGCTTTCCGGAACAAGGTTTATTATCCGCGAAGTGATTCAATTTCGGAAGTGTATTCAAATCGACGATGCTGGTACCCGATCAAGCGAATGTCCTGGTAAATGGAACACACAAAGCTGTCAGTTTACGTATAACACGATTTGTACACGTGACTAGGCAAAGTTAAATTTGTCCAATTATTTCATTAAGCAGGACGATATGAATGTCTATGGGGAGTGGAGGTATAACTCCATGTATTCTTTGCCTAGGCACGAGATACAGGTGTCAGATTCACGTCATAATCGCTCTACCCCCAGGAAACCAGCGATTCTTTAATGGCGTCTGGTGTAATGCGTAATATAATATGGGAAATAAAACTCCCACAACGCAGCCCGTTTGGAAACAAAGTGCCACAGAAGTGTAAAGTTATCTTACTTTAAAGTAAGTTGTCTGGCAAGTATTATTAATCGGACTTCCAGCGACATAAAATACCATCACAGTTTGTCTCGTGAGCACCCTGTGTTTACCAAGTCGAATCCTGTTACACTCCTACAAAATTGTCTGTTTTCCAGGAATATGATTACCAACTTAACTATATTCTTGCCTTAGGCCAATTATTTAATTAATTAGTACTGATATAATTACACTGAAATGTGGTAGTGGGACCCAATTAGCACACATCAACATTTATGTTATGTGTCCTCTACTGGGCCCACGTATAGCAACTGTATAAAAATGAAATAACCCGACTGGTTCTTCTGTGCAGCAGTTGGAAACACTGGTAACTTGGCTCGCGTTGCGTCACGTAACTGAACAGGTGAGCAACTTCCACAACTGGATTCAGTTTTGTACTGGGACAACGTTTTCATGTCAACAAAAAGAGACTCAACCAAGATTCTTGTACGATTTGAGGTTCTCGCGGCGTGTAGTCTGACGGTGGAAGCAGCAAGGACCTCTGAAACGTCAGCAAACTTCTGCCAGAGTACAAGACGTTACAACCCAGAAGACAGCCATCTTAAGATCCCTGTACTTTGAAACGATTTGTTAAGGTGACGACACCTGGGGATTCCACCACTACCCAGGAACAAGTCGATCGCATTGGCGAATTATAAAGTAACTTCTTAGAAACTTATTGACGGAGTCCGGGAGACCACGACAAAACTCGGTCGAAGAACTTCTGAAGTAAAGGTCGTGCTACTGAACGCGACATTCAATACGAAGGAGACTGACTACTGTCATCTCAAAGGGATGAATTATATCAATAGCCTGAATGCAACACAGGGATATGGACCAGAATATAATAGCCAGGGATTCAATCGGCTTCTCTTTGTGTCCTTAAGATTCGCTAAGATTCAAGATTCCGACTCTGGGTTCACACTCGTGCACTGTGCCATACCGTAAAGCCAATGCCGCGTGTGTGGACGTCGTCGGTGTCAACATTCGCTCCCGTTCGGTTAGCAAGTGTGGACGTTCGTCAGAATGCACAGGTGTGGACCCGGTTTTAATGACAGAACTGGAAATCAGCACTCACAGGCGTCGCATGAACGAGGAAATGTTCGCCGGGATCTCCGTGAACGCAGGTCCTCTGCAGCGACACTCGGGCTCCGACTCCGTGCTGTTGTAGCAGGTACACTCGCTGGCGACGTGCCATCCACCGGGAGTAATCGACGGCTCCAGCGTCAGCTCGCTGTCGGCCTCCGTGGCGTTGTCCGCGGCCAGCACGCCCAGCGACAGGCTCGTAATCACACACCCGAAAACCACACAGCGCCTGTGAAAAAAACCAAATCCCACAACCCCATCACAGTTCAGAGAGACAAAAGTGTGGACTTGACAGATCACTTCCTACACCCACGCGAGTATTAGATAAAAATTCGAAATGTTCAAGAAAGATATTTTGCAGTCTTTCCTGACCGCTGAGGAAATCAAGACGGACTCTTATCAAAAGCCCTCGTAATCTTTCCCTTATACCAAAAGCGATCATCCGCCTCGTTATTTCGCCCCGAGACGTCAGAAACGGAACTGAGCAGATACCATGATCCACCCACTATCGATCACACGGATACAGCAGATTCACAATCAGAAAGAGAGTACATTTAGAATTTCATTACTTTCCTACACAATAGACTGCCAGTCTGACCTGTTTCGCGTCCTTTCAGCAAACCGATAAAAGCAACAGTCCCGCCAAAATTAATCATGTCATGAATCTGAACGCAACATCGAAAAGAAAAGTTCTTCGCTGATGTGTTATTAAATACTCCCTTTCATTCTTTTTCTGACGTCGTCCAGTGTAGGTAATAATGAAGCAAAGGTCACATTTTACTCTTTTGAAACCCGCAAGCGATGTGGTGTTATTAACTAAACAAGGAATTCATAAGAGAAAGGACGACATTAGTTCCTTATAAAACTGCCCTTCATCTGACAATCGACCTACTGCCTGCAATCGACTGAATTACATCTTATAAATTAAATTTATACAGAAAAATGCAGAAAGTAGGAACAGAACACGAAATACTTTCTGAGAATACGAAGACCACATCGGATTAACGATTAAAATCGTATCTTTTTTAAAAAATTGTTAATAAAAACATAATTACAGCGAAACTACAATATTAAAGTGGCCTTGCAAGCATTTACTATTTTACAATAAATAAAATACACTGTCTAAGGGTCGATTTACTTGGTAATAAAGCAAATTTTAATATAAAAATTAAACTGTGACTAATTTCATCAGGCTTACTACACTGGACAGACCGGATGTACCTTTAAATATTCAATGTATTGTAAAGATCTTACGTAAAACGAACATTTCACACAAAGTGTATAAATAAATGTTTTGCTGTGTGTGTGTGCGTGCTTTAATACGAGCGTCACAAACATCTGGAATGAAGCAAGAAAGTGAAGACGAAGCAGGAGAAAAGGAAATAAATAATCTCTCAGCGCAGCGCCACGGAACAAGCAATGCGAGAAGCTTTTCAAATAATTTTGCCGACTGCATCTCAACTTCTAATCAAATTTAAATTAAAACATCAACAATCATAAATGCGAGGAACTGGTAAAGTGTTTTGCATCGCAGCGAAATACACAACCAACACACTTAACTTGAAACAAGCGAGCTTCTGAAATGCAAATGTTCAAGTGTAAATACACTATTAAATCAGACAACGCGAAGATGTCGCGAAGTAACTGAGACACTGGTAATCGGCGTACTCCGTAAGAGAATACTCATGTGATGATAATTTAAGTATGTATGGGACCCAAAGTTCAGAACAACTGTTGCACGTGTTGTTGAATCCTCTGACTACAATTACTTGCAAAACAGAAATTTAATTAAAAACCTAAGTTTAATTAAGTGTGCACCTGGAGACTATTACGCGTGGCACTTCATAATTACGTAGAATTCGTCTTTTATTCTATTGTACTGGAATAAAATGTACTGTGCCAGTGTCAGCACACACACACACGTTCGTTGAGTTGGACGTTTCGGCCGTCAAGTGCAGTCGATCCACAAGGCATTAGGTTTGCTCGACTCTTAACCACACACACAGTTCATCTCCGTGGATGAAACTACCAACGGGCCACTCGCACATGAGGACCTAACTTGATGAATATATCGTAAAGAAATTGAACTTAAAACAATGAAATTATTTCGATCTTCTGTGTACGAAAACTGAACTGAAATCCACTGATCCTATTCACGAAATCAGGGAGACGACTTACGGGCACAAAACACGAGGAATTCACAACACACATCATGAATTATCTCCAGAACCAGGCGTTCATCAAGCACGACAGTCCTCTCCTGGAACAGACCCTCAATGAGTTACGTAGCTTGTGTCTGCATTATGACTGATCCCGCAAGTCGGCACGGAAGCACGATTTATGCTTCACATGGTCCAGCCGGACATCCGTGTCACCACAGCAGAAACCGATCCACTTAGCAGGTTACATCAAGGGTTCAAAACTATACACGCACGGTGCCACTCGGTTCGAATCTCGTTTTGGCGAAAATCTCCGAAAACCCGAATGGAATTCCCGAATACTCTTACGATACAAGCGACATCTTACTTCAATGCCCGCAATAAAAAGTTTTTAAAGACGCCGTTTCAACTGCACAAGTTATGTAGAGTTGAAGAAATGTAATCCTGAACGCTCAGTAAGTGGCAGTTTAGAAGGACGCGATTATAATTAAATTCAAAGTGCTGCCGCGGTAACTGTCTGAACTGACTGAGGAAAACATCGAAAAAATTAATTTAGGATAGCCAGTAACCCGACTGACACCTGAACCAAGTACCTCTCGTCCTGAAATGTAACGTTACGACCACATGTCTCAGCCCTAGTGTTAATATTTACGGTAATAATCATTCCAGAAACAACCGAATGTCTCGGCGATAAAACTGGACACCATCACTGAAACCACTTCCTTGCAACTTTGTTTCCAACCCACAACACAAAATCAATCTAAACGCGTCTGATTAGCCCAAAAGATCAACACTTTGAAACACGAAGCTCCTCTAAATAAGAAATTGAAATTCAATTCGTACCTCAAAAGATCCGTTAGTTAACGCTGTTTAAGGAAGTGATCGATGTTTACTCTGATAAACACACGAAGCATGTTTGGGCAAGAAAAAAAAAAAAACAACACGGGCCTAAATCCCCTTCTTCTTTCGATTCTCAACACTTCGCCCCACGCAGCGCCAGGCAATGTAATCCCCCGAGGCCCAGAGCCAAGCAGAAGAACGCGAGTCGACAGTAAATCAAATTTAAACTTGGGATTTACAAGCAATGTCTTGCGGAGAACAAGATTTTACACAAACAGGAGTAGAAAGGTGCTTCAGTGGGGTGCTTTGTTGGGGCTGAAAACCCATTTCTTCAAAGCTACGTACCCTGCAGACAGTCGGCAACAATTTTCGTTACATTTAAACTTAATAACATTTAAATACGATTAAATTAAAATATCTGAAATGGTCTACTCAGGCTTTGCAACTAAACTACTGTAGGCATATATATTTATTATCTCTTCTACACGTGTTACATGTCTCGCAAATCTTAATCTCCCTGACTCCATAACCTAGTAACAGCTTATATCGTGAACAAAACAAAATATGACAGAGTCTGACTTAACACAATCTGTTCCTGTAAAGTCCTTACAAATCCATGGCTATTTACTAAAGCAGTTGCAAATTTAGTCGAGATCATAATTCCTCAAATGAACACAGCATCTCCTCAGACAACCTGCAATGCACAGTTGTTCCTCATGGAACAAGAGGGTGTTTGGGTGTGAGGCTCAGGAGACCGGAGTGACAGCTGTAAAGTTCCGGGCTCCCATTTTCCCAGCTGTCAGTCAGCTGTTCGAAGCGATCAACCCCAAAACGTTCAACGCGCTATTATGCCTTCAGGTCAAAGGACAGCTAAACAATTTCGGTATGTAAAGGGACCGTATTCAAGCACGGTCCGTTCTACCTGCCACAATACCAATGTATTCCTTTCTGCCCCTGAATTCAATTAAAGCTAACACGTAACTGCGTTGCACCAAATGCAATTATTCTGTAACCCCAACTAAAATTGTGTCTTTGTGTAGTACGACGCTAAAAAAAAAAGTTTTTAAAACAATAGTAAAAATGAACGACTCAATATTTAATGCGCTTTTCTAAAACAGAGACCACGGTACATTAATTAAAAATAATATAATATAATAATTGTTAAATGTAGCGGGAAGCCACGGTGAGAAAAGTGAAGTCTGCATCCTCAATGATAACAGAGCAAAGACTAGCGAAGCATCAGACATTCCAACCTACAATAAGCGCATACCATAAAATCACATCCTAATTGCCTCACCCTGTACAGGAACCAGGCCTATATATA